ACCGGAAGACAAAGTGGAAGAACTAGACCACACAAGCAAAGATTATAAAAAAATTTAAGAAATCACAAGAGTGGAATATGAAGGAATTGTGTGACAGCATAAAAAGACCAAACTTACGAATCATGGGTGTACAGGAGGGAGAATAATCTCAGGATAATGGCATGGACAAGATCTTCAACAGGTTTGTGGAAGAAAATTTCCCCAAATTAAAGAAAGATATGCCCATACAAATACAACAAGCATACAGAACACCAAACAGAAAGGACCAGAAAAGAAACTCTTCACGGCACATCATAGTAAAAACACTACACATACAAAACAAAGAGACAATTCTGAAAGCTGCAAAAGAGAAACAACAAATCACATATAAAGGAAAACCCATTAGGATTACAGCTGACTTTTCAGTGGAGACTATGAAACTGAGAAGAGCCTAGACCAAAGTATTCCCAGTTTTAAATGACCACAGATGTCAACCCAGATTACTATACCCAGCCAAAAGGTCTAGTATAGTCTAAAGGGAAAGAAAAATCTTCCATGATATAAAATGGCTGAAGGAATTCATGTCCACAAAACCAGCCCTTCAGAGAATTCTGGAAGCAATACAAAGAGCTGAAGAAAGGAATGACTATATCCAAGGAATTGGGGAAAGAAATCCAATGAAGGTATACCTGTGGAAAAGTACAGCTATAGCAAGAATGTAAACAGAAATAAAAGTGACAGGAATCAATACCCATCTTTCCTTAATAATTTTAAATATTAACGGACTGAACTCCCCAGTCAAAAGAAACAAACTATGTGAATGGATTAAGAAACAAAACCCATCTTTTTGTTGTCTGAAAGAAACTCATCTCACTTTCACGATCAGACACTATCTCAAAGTGAAAGGATGGAACAAAATATACCAAGCAAATGGCACTAAGATAAAAGCAGACATAGCAATACTAATATCTGACAAAATAAAATTTAAATTAAAACTAATCAGAAGAGACAAAGAGGGCCACTTCATTTTGATCAAAGGAACAATGAATCAAGAAGATATTACAATCATGAACATATATTCACCAAACTCTGGTGCACCCAACTTCATAAAGACACTACCACAGGACTTTAAGACCCAGATTAACCCCAACTCCTTAATAGTAGGTGACTTCAATACCCCACTGTCTCCATTAGATAGGTCAACAGGGCAGAGAGTTAACAGAGAGACATCTGAATTAAACAATACCATATATCAAATGGACTTAACAGACATCTACCGAGTATTCCACGCAAGCACCAAAGGACATACTTTCTACTCAGGACCCCATAAAACCTTCTCCAAAATGGAATGTATACTGGGGCACAAAACAAACTCAACCAATACAAAAAGATTGAAATAATTCCATGCATTCTATCAGACCACAATGCAATAAAGCTTACAATACACACCCGAAGAAGCCAAAATCACCAGATGAACACATGGAGATTAAGCAACACACTCCTGAATGATGAATCAGTCAAAAGAGAAATTAAGAAAGAAATAAAAGTATTCCTGGAACATGCTGAAAGCGGTCCTTAGAGGGAAGTTTATAGCTGTAACTGCCTACATCAAAAAATCGGAAAGAACACAAATAAATGACTTAACATTGCAACTCGACACACTTGAAAAGCAACAGCAAACGAAACTCAAACCCAGCAGACAAGAAGAAATAAGAAAAATCAGGGCAAAAATTAATGAAATTGAAACAGAAAACAATACAAAGAATCAACGATTCCAAGAGCTGATTCTAGAAAAGATAAACAAGGTGGACAGACCACTAGCCCAGTTAACTAAAAGGAAGAAAGAGCACCTCCAAATCAACAAAATCAGAGATGAAAGGGGAAACATCACAACAGACACCAGAAAGATACAGAACATTATAAGGGAATACTTTAAAAACCTATATGCTACTAAACTTGAAAACCTAAAAGAAATGGACAGATATCTAAAGGCATGGGAACCACCAAAATTAAACCAAGAAGAGATTAACAGCTTAAACAGACCCATAACACAAAAAGAAATTGAAACAGTAATACAAAACCTCCCGACTAAAAAAAGCCCAGGACCAGATGGATTTACAGCAGAATTCTCTCAGACATTTAAAGAAAGATCTACATCCAATACTACATAAATTATTCAAAAATATAGAAATAGAGGGAGAACTTCTAAAATCCTTCTATGAAGCCAGCATCACTCTAACACCAAAGCCAGGTAAAAATAAAACTAAAAAACAAAACTATAGACCCATATCCTTAAAGAACATTGATGCAAAAATTCTCACCAAGATACTAGCAAACCACATACAGACACACATCAAAAAGATCATCCACGATGATCAAGTCGGCTTTATCCCAGAGATGCAGGGATGGTTCAATATATGTAAGACAATAAACATCATGAATCATATAAATGGGCTCAAAGACAAGAACCACATGGTCATCTCAATAGATGCAGAGAAGGCCTTTGACAAAATTCAACATGCATTTATGT